ATATTATTTAACTAAAAGAATATTATATCCCTGGAAACTTTTTAAAAGCATTTCCACTTCTTAATTCTCTGTTGTCAATCTCTACTGAAACAGTTCACATTTTAAAATATACAAACCAAAACCTATTTTAAATTATTCAAACAATAATTTTTAAATTTGGGTTAGGGTAACAAAAAGTGACATCAAGTTTTTGGCAGAAAACCAGAATTAATTGAGTTTTACACACACATTTTCAAGAATTATCCGACATTCATAAATATCAGTGTAAATTTAACTGTTTTGTGGGAAATTATGTGGTATTTTAAAATATGCTAAAAACTGTTGTAGAGCATTTTAGGATTTTTTAGGAATTTTGTCAATCTCAGTTAACGTCCTCTCCCCAAAATTTTTAAAAATAAAAAAACCACAAAATAAAATAAAGGATGGAACCATATTTGAGGCTGTTTTCAATTACAAAAAAAATAAAAAGAAATTGTTGACAGCTTGGTTCAGAAGGTCCTGTAGAACAGCATGAGCAATGCTTTTCAATAGTTACTGAGTTTGCAGTTTCAGCAGATACTGAGGGTTCTGATTCAGATCTGAATTCTGTGATGCAGAATCAGCTTTGCCATGAATTCAAATACATCAAGTTTCAAAAAGGTTTAGTGCTAAATCCAAATATCAGAATAAAGAGCCATCTTTAAGTTTGAGCAACCTCCTAATGCTTGTTTGACATCTCACAGTGCTGTCATTTAAAAGTGATTTCATAAAATGCACTAATATAAATGGCAAACTTTACAAACTAATGCAAAATCAGTGTAATGACAGAAAGAACTGGGTGCTTTTTTACATGAAGGTTTAAATAATTAATTTTCTTCTTCCATTTTTGACATCTCCGCCCAGATCAGGCAGAAGTGTGGGCCAAGAAGACAGCTACACTAGGTAGGCAGCCAATTAAAACAGACTGTCATAAAAGAGCAGGATGATTTTTCAGGAGAGGCATCTTTATTTTGTGAGTACTAATATAAATTCCTAAATGTCTCACAGATGCAGTCTGAAAGAAATTGCATCCCCCTCCCAGTAAAAATATCTTAGCCACCTCAAAAGAAGAGACCATCTGGATGCTTACTCACTTCAGGGGATGCTAAGTTAATTGAGTGAAAGTCCAAATAACTCTTTAGGAGAGACATGCTGAGGAGTAGCAGTAGACTCCAAAGTAAAGTAATTCCAAAAGAATTTGCTTCGGTATTGCTATTACTTAATCAGCTGCATTATCACCATTCTTGAGAAGCCTAGGCATAAACGAGGGCTCTTTTTGAAGGACTGCAAAAAGGAATTTGCTGAGCACAGCTATACGTATTTACATGAGAAATTCAGACGAAATCCAGTAGTATTTCAATAATAAAATCAAACAGCAAAAGGAATGTTCTCATTCTTTTGTCCAAAGAAGTGCCTTTATCTGCCCAGAGGAGTATCAAAGCTGTGATTGAAAGGTGCGGCACATCATCCACCTGAGATACTTGGAAGTAATACAGGATCACCAGCACTCTGGTTCCAAGCTTTCCTGGCTGCCTTTTTTCTGGGTGTGCTGGTTGCTGTTGGGAGCTGCCCTGCCTCTTTAGATCTGTCTGCACGTTCAGAGCTGTCAGTTGTCTGATCAATTTTGAGAGTTTTTTTAGTTCAAAGTGGTCACACTGTGGTGTGAGGTCTTTCAGTGGTGCTGAGGCCTTTCAGTTAAGAAGTCTCCAGTGTCATTTAGACAATCTACAGATCACTCCTCAGGCTGTCTGGAAGCTCATCAACCCTAAGCATTGTAGACTGTGTTTGCAATCTCTGTGCAAGGGCTGACAGGGTGAAAGATAGAAGATTGTCTTGAGAAGAAATTCTTACTGACCGCTAGTGCACGATCTGCAGTTTGGCATTTTCTTCTGTTTGTCCCCTTCTAATGCTACCTTGTCTTTTTATGTAATATGAAAATAGTAAGTTTTGCCATGCCACATACTCTCTTTTCTAGCCTGAGACTCTTCTTTGATTCTTTCTTTGCACGACAATTCTTCTTTCATTGGTTTTTCCCTGGATAAGTTGAATTGATCCTGTTCCAATGACTGGAAATTTTCATGTCTCAGACATCCCTTAAGCCCTTCCTTTACCCATTGCTAAAAATTGGGCAGACTGGGTCCTTTCCAGTTCATGTGAAATTTTTGCAAAAGTAAATGGGATTTAGGAATCTAAATATATTTTAGGATCTATGTCTATCCATGTCTTATTGCTTTTGGGTGATATGCATAACTGGCTTAAGAAAATTATTTTAAAACTCTACTGGGATGACAAAATGCTTTTTGATTGTTTTTAAGAATCAGTTTCTTCCTGTAGGTTGCAATAATCTAGAAGTTAGCAAGAACAGGCCTTGGCAGAAAAGCTCAGTTCTCTTTGCTGGTGGAGAATGCTGAAACCAACACAGGCATCAGCTCCTAATGGTTGCTGGAAGTGAGACTATACTCTTTCTCACATATGGCTGCAGCAAATAAAACCAAGAGTATTTTCCCTACTGATAGAAGACTGACTGTTAAATGGATAGAGCAGTTAGAGCTTCCAAATGTAGGAAGAGAGTGGAAAGTGGCCCGAGGAGCTGAAACCCCTGTATTGCTGCATTGTTTTTTGCAGCAGTAAAATGCAAAGCCAATGTTGCTCTAGACTTTCAGGTTTTGCAGACTTCCAGTCTTTCCAGGATTGACAGAACTGCTTCTTAATTTGTTTGGCCCATTCAAAAAGGAAAATTGCTCAATTTCAGACACACATAACCTATAGTACCACTTGCTTCTCCCCTTCCTATTCTTCAGACAACTGCCTTTTTAAACACCTGAATACTTTCAAGCAAGAGCTGTGATATCTTCTTTGTCCTGTATACTGCCTAGTACATGGACAGTATGGTGGGAAACAAGCAGAATTTATTGTACATCTCAGAGAAAATCAAAGCACAACTTACCTGAGGTCTACAGGTGCACCCTCCTATCCCCCAGCCTGGGGAAACTGGAAATCCTGCTGTGTCCATGTATTCTGCTGAATGGATGCAGTCCTTGTCCACTGTCCAGACTGAAGCACAATGTGGAGCACAATAAGCACTCCTTCCAAAGAAAACCTGGGTGCACAGGTGGGAGATTACACAAGGTTTTCCTGATCTGAAGACCAGAAACAAGGAAGGAATATCCTTCCACCTAAACTCAAACTTCTATTTTGACCTAGTGAAGTATTGGCCTAGTGAAGCCGAAGAGCTGCGGCACCATTCAAGATGTCCTTTCAGGAGCTTTGGGTAGCTGAAATTTGGAGAACAGGTAATTTTCTTCTTTGGGCTCACATAGAATTGGTAAAACCTATAACACTGGAGAATCACTTATTGAATGGGAAGGAACAAAGAAGAAAAAAAGCCATCCAAAAACCCAAGCAAATTCAAGTGATAGAGCAAGAGCAGAAAGAAATGGTAAGAGACATAGGGACTTAGAAGAGGCAGGTTGAAATGAGGGAATGAGGGCAGTGAGAGTGAGAAGACATCAGAGTGGAAAACTGACACACAGAAGACACAGGAAGAAGTAAGAATGTGACAAAGGTATAATAAGGCAACTGGTACATCAGAGAAGAGGGAAATGGAGGAGGAAGAAGATCAAAGAGATAGAAAAAAGAAAGAGAAAGAAAGAAAGAAAGAAAGAAAGAAAGAAAGAAAGAAAGAAAGAAAGAAAGAAAGAAAGAAAGAAAGAAAGAAAGAAAGAAAGAAAGAAAGAAAGAAAGAAAGAAAGAAAGAAAGAAAGATGGTAGAGCCAGAACAGAGGAATGAGAAAATCTTAAAATAAGAGAATTTATGGAGATATGGAAGCAGTCACAGAAAAAGAACAGTGTAAAATGAGAAAATGAGCAATGGAAGCATGAACAGAGGAAGAATAAAGGGCCTCTACATGAAGTGGCAGACTTCTAGATGTTAGAATTAAGGTAGATAAACCCCATGGTAAGATGCGAAAAAACCAATTTCTTTTTAACTTCGAGGTTATAGCTGAAATGCAAATATTTTGTAGAAAATACAAATAGTTGTGATTTTTGTAAATGTTGGGTTGTGCTATATTTCACTTTATAAAAAATGTCAAAGTAGAGCAAATTACATCAAGATGTTGTGCAGGAATTAGAAAAAGAAAAAAGAAACCTGATACTTTATAACACAGGCAGGAAAAAGCTGTCTCATGTATGCTATGACTTACAAATCTGTGGGAGCTATTGTGGCCAGGGTCCAGCCCTCACTTTATACATTAGTGGGTGTAAAGGGTGATGTCACAGAAGGATTATGTCTAATCCTGGACAAGAAAACCTTGTGATGACTCAACAAGGAGCAGAAAAGACGGAGCTAAATCAGCTTAAAGTCAGGCTTTATGGGTTTGGATGGAATCAGCATTTTGCATGTGTGGTCATGCTTTGCACATAACGACACACTCAGTTCATGATGATACTCTGTCTACAGCCTTCCTATTCCTGCCCCCATTTCACCACCCTGCTGGCCCAGTGTCTGGCTGCCACTAACTCAAAATAGGAGACTCCAGGATCAATACAAGGAAAATTTTAATTACCAGCAGAGCTATTGGCACCACATAAGTTTCACAGTGCAAATAACCAATACATCAGGGCAGACCTTTGGCTGCCATGTAGTAAAATAGGGGGATGCTTGATAAACCAGCTTTAATTCTCCAGTTCTGTTGGTAGTCTTTGAATCTTCTGTGTGGCAAAGCACAGGCTAGTTTGAAATGACCAAATTTACTCACCTGCTAAATGGTTTCTGTGGATGGCCCGGTTCCTCTGACCCCAGAGCTCAGCTGAATGAATGGCAGGTGTGAGGACAGGTATTTCTGGATAGGACTGCAATTTGTGTAGAAACTGCTGATGAGCCTTGGCACATCTTTGCACCAAGCACTTTAGTCAGACTGTCACATGCACGGGAATCAGATAGGCAGCAAGGAGCTCATGTCATCATTTCCTGAATCAGAAGCAAAAGGTGAGTGATCTGAGTGTTGTCTGAAGTGATCACTGCACAGAAGGCCTATTCTCATGACTCGTGCTATAGATATTTTCTTGTATTGAAATGAAAGCAAACAATTTGCAGGGATTTATAGAACATTTAATTTAACTTTTACTAGAAAAGCAACAGAATCCTGTTTGGGGAGGCAACAAATGGAAAACTTCTTTGCACCATGTCATGGTTCTGGTAGATATTTCCTTATTTATTTTTGAAAGCAATACAGAAGTGAGTGATAATTGTTGCTGAAATTTTTTGTTTCTATTTCATAGAGGTTCAATTTAATAGTTTTCTTTAGGCTTTAAGCAGATTAGAGAAATAGGGACTCCAGTGGTACAGCCCAGTGTAATGTTTCTTTACTCACACTTGGTTAAAAAGTGCCATTTAGGCAAAACAGATTTTTAAAAGGCTTGCAGGTTTATTTCAGAAGTTTGCTAGACAGTATGGGAGCTGCTCTAAACTGAAAAACTGAGTTTAAAACTTTAAATGGGAGAGCCAAATCTGCCCCTGAGGTAAGCCCCCTAAAGCGGACATGACAGTTAGAATAAATTGTTCTACTGTTTTCAGTGCTAGTTACTCAATTATTAAATTACTACAGCAAAGCTTGGAGGTGTAAGAAAAGAATATGGGAAAGACATTCTAACACATGGAATAAAAATGAGAAAAAATTACAATTTTTCCCACTAGGAAGTATGCAATTAGATGATATTTCACAATCAAAATATTGTGTAAACTGTAAAAAACATAACTACAGAAATAAATGACAATGGTTATCTGACACTTGTCACCCTTTGCATGACAACTTTGACATGCTTCATTTGAGTCACTTCCCAAAGGACAGTTGTCAGTCCAGCTGTCAAAACCACATCCCATCTGAAACAGCTCTGTAGAGAGAGGCTAGAGGTCCCAGCCTGAGGACATGAGGGAATCCCAGCCCCTGGGCACATGGAGAGAAAGTTGCACTGTCCTCATGTGCTACCCTAACAAAGGACAATAGACAGAGCCAGGCCAGCTGGTGATCCTCTCTGCACTAAAGAAAAGTTTTCTGGCAGGGGAGTCTCCTTTCTCCCTTCAGCTGGAGAGGCTTTTCTTGTCTCGTGAGTTTCTTGCTTTTGTGAGGAGCCAACACCAATGTTGACCAGGAGCTGGTAATTTGCTATGACAACATCTCATAATCCCTCCCATAAAGCTTTCTGAGGTCATATAACCATTATCTTGTGTCCAAGTATGGAGGAAAAAAAGCAGAAAACCACTTCAAACTCCTGTGTTTCTGAGAATGATCTGGAAGCGATTTTGGAGCACCAAAAGGAAAAAAAAAAGTCAAAACAAGGTCATATCGGCAAAAGGACTCAAGGTTGAGAAAGTTCTGGATAAACTTGGGTGTAGCTGAGAGTAATTACTATCCTGAAATCCCCTGCTCAGCTGCAGCTAATCCAATATAGACACCTAAACTCACCAGGGGTCTCCCTGTTTGATGTTTAACATTACTATTGTGAGAATTCAGTTCTCTGCAGCCCGTCTCAAATCGCCCTAGTATGAGAAGTTCAGCAGCTGGTTCAACACTTGATCAGGTTTCAGAAATAGGAATTTTCCCTTAAGTCTCTCTTTAAGTTGGAATATATTCTCAGAACATTCATAGAAAAAATGCACAAGAGCATACTGCTTGAAAAACACAGTTATCAATATTTTTTAAGGGAAACAGTGTTTTTAAATTCCTGAGTAGTATGGAATTTAGTAGTATACAGTAGCTTTTTCTAATACTTGGAAAAATCATGAATTTTTTTCTCTAGGCTTTTCTTGGCTAGACTGAGAAAGTTCAATGTCAAATCTTTAATTTCTTGATTGAGCATCAGACCTCTTCAGATACAGGTTATTCTGTTTATTTTGTTGTATCTTCTTGAGCTGAAGTTGAAATAGTCACAGGAAAAAGAAGACTAACAAAAGGAAAAGGAGAGCACAAAGCAGGAGGAGAAATGAGTTTGAATTCTCACAGTTTGAGGAGGGAAATGAAATTTGATGCGCATTTTTCTTGAATAATTACTTTTGTCTGGGCTTTGCATGGCAAGTTTTTGGTAGCTGGGTGGCTGCAGGGCTGGCTCCTGTGAGAAGCTGCTAGAAGTTTCCTTTATGTCTGATGGAACCAATGCAGCTGGCTCCAAGTGTGTGCCAGCATCTCCAAAGAGTCTCTCTGAGGACAACATAAGGAAGGAAAGGACTCTGCTGGAGGTGAGGGTGGATGAGAAGGCTGCACTGTCCCTTGGCAGTCAGCAGGGGTAATACACAAACTCTATATACAATTACAAATGAATGGCACCACTCAGGAGCTGGGAACCAGGCTGGGAGCACTAAGGATGTGGAGCACAGGGACTGCAGAGAGGAAATGGGAATTGGGAACAGAAGAGGAACTAAAGGTCTGAGGAAATGTTCGTAAAGGGTTTGGAGAAGAAAGGTGAGAGGTGGGAAAGAAAGGCTGGGCTTCGAAAGGGATTAGGAAGGCCTTATTTCTCTGTTTTAGAGGTTTGGGGATTGCAAGGACTGCCTCTGGAGTAACAGGGTTAGTGAAAGTTATAGGAAAATAATTGTCAGAGATAAAGTAAATCTAAGCAAGGAGAGATGGGGAGGAAGATGAGTAGCTTTTGTAGGGGAGAAAGGTGATTTGAAACAGCGGAGGCCTTGGAAAGGGACAATGTGGAAGGGGAGCCTCAACACAGAAGGCATTTTAAAGAGCTTTTAGGCAGGAAGGACTGGGAAATTTAAGGCTTGGGACAGAAGGGACTGTGGGCCAGTATGGTGTGAGGGAGAAATTAGGGTTACCAGTTTGGGGGAATATTATTTTCTGGGCTCTGATGTCAGAGGCACACACAGAGAGCCTCCTTGTCCAAAGAACAGCCCTTCCCTTTTTCTCTGTTTGTATAAATTAAAATAGCCCTATTTTGGACAGAATAATCCAGAGGTTACCTTTAAAGTCAGAATGACATGAATTCTGACTGATCTGTGGAATAATTTTGCCATATGAAAATTGTCTACATGAAGCCAGTTTGAGGGATTGAAACATAGTGTCTCTAAACTTGTTTCACACAGAAAGTGTTCCCAATAAATAACAGTTTTAAACCAGACACTCTTACACAAAATGACATGCTTCAATTTAATCTTCATTATTTCCTTAGATATCTCTTCTCTGTAGGAAACTGATCCCAAATCCTTCCATCAGATCCCAGATCCTTCAGTAGATGGCCAGATAATTCTACTCTCCGTATGCCATGAGCACTGAATTTGCATGAGTTCATGTAAGCACACTTTTGTGTTTTTCCTTCTGGATAGGGCAACACTGATCTCTCTTGAAATCCTGCCTGTAATACATGGTTGTTTACAAACCACTTGATAACAGAAGTCACAGCACATATTTGTGTTGGCTGGTAATCCTTTGTCAATGATGGGTGAAGATCAGGTGTCATTTCTGATTCTTTTGGATGTGTCAGCTGTCTCCAGTACTGCCTTCAGTTGACCATGAACCGACTTGCACTCTGGCAGTCTGGAAGCAAGGACAAATGGGATGAGTTCTGGAGTTCAGAGTTATGTGCAGTTTTGAGCCCTGAGGCATATTGGCAGCGGGTTGAGGGAGGGATCATTAATAACATCTCTTCTATGTTAAAAGAAATTTAGATGATACTTCATTTCACAGCATTTTTATTAATATGTTTACCTACTAACATTTTGATAATGCAGCTTTGACACTTAAATAAGTCTCTGCTTGCTCGCCACATGAATTTTTAAAAAAAATCCTGTAAGCTCCTACAAAATATTTTCTACAAATATTTTCCCCCACAGTCTTTTGCCTTTAGCTCATACTTCCCTCAACATCCTCAAAAATAGATGAAAAAAGTCTCCATACAGCAAGCTCTGAAATGCCACCCACGTCCCCCCTCAACAAGCAACCAGACCAGTCTCTGCTGGACCTGGGGGTATAGTATATGTTTTATTGCCTCCAAAGATGGAGGCAATTCTGCTAGACAGCTCTTCTTTTTGGCTCCACTGCCAGTATCTCCAGCTCTCAGTGAGATGTTGCAGCATACTAATTTCTTCCATTCAGTCAATTTGGGTTATGCTCTGCTCCAGGGGTCTCTTCCATACTATGTATCCAATTTAAATGATGGGGGAGGAGAGAAGGATTGCCTGAGCTTTTCTGCCTCCACTTTATTCCCTGTGTGGCAGCTAAAGTTGTCTCTAAGTTGCAGACAAAAAATCAATAGTCTGAAGTCCACCTGGAAATAGCTGAGAACTGCTCAACCGTGGGTTCAAGCATTGCCTGTGTGTACAGCTCCTCTTGGGAAATCTGCATGAGCCATTGGACAGAGCCACCGGGTGAACCCAGCGTCAAGGGACACCTAGAGAATTTTGCATTCAAAGGAGGAAAAAGCATATACAACAGTACTAACTCATACTGAAGGAAGCCAGCTTCTTGATGCAATTCCTGTGGCAAGGCATATTATACCATGTTAGGTCAGGAGTGGAAGGAGCCCATGTTTAAACTACTTGTCAGGTGCAAGTATGAGATAAATAGACACAAACTTCTCTGCCTTGCAGTTGCTGGCCTCCCAGATGCAATTAGTCAGAGAGGTAGGTGATCAGGTGGAGTGATAACTCAATGATTAATAGCAAAATCAGATCAGTGTACCCCAGGCATTCTGGGTAAGCACTATGAGGACAGCAAATTTTGCATTTTACAAAGGGGTGCTGTAGAGGGATTTTCCTTTTCTTTTAAAGATTCAGTTACATGTCAGCATAGCTCTGTGGTTAGACTTGGCCTGTGAAATCCTACTACAGTAAGGGGCAGTTAAATCCATGCCCTCTACCAAGAGAAATAAGACATTGTCTTATGGGTTCCATACATTATTAATTTCTCTAGTTATTTCCTGAAGAGGGAAAAAAATAAGGTCCTAGATTACACAATCCTGATATTTGTCCACTTGCTGCTGCTTTTTTTGGCCCCTCTTTAACTAGAAAGATGTGAGCATTGGGAAGCAAATGGATTTCCCTTAGGACCCTGAAGTAGTGCCCTGCCACAACCAACAGCTTCAGCCTCTTGGAAAAAGTGCAATTTGAATCTTCCAAAAGCTGTTCCCAGGGCTTCATAATATTTGATGATTAGACCAGGGTTGTTTACTGTGGGGTAGCAGTTATGCTCAGTCCAGGCTTGTTGCTTTATTATTCACTCAATCTGTTTGTACAACATTTTGCATGTAGTGATAAAGCCAGTGAAACATTGGCCATGGTGTAGTTCTATTTAGTAAACTATGAAAGTGTGTTTTGGTTTTTCCAGAAAACTGAGCATAGATGAATTTCAACTGCCTTGAAGATTTATAAGAATTAAAATTACTATGTGTTCATTGATTATTGTTGGATTGATCTAATATCTGACCTCAAATCTGCCCAGTTATCTTATAATACTCCACCTCAGCCTTTGTTCATGAGCATCCACAGCTGTCTTCTCCACCAGCTGTTAGTCAGCACCTCTATGTTTTTTCTGACATCTACCCAAGGTGCCAGAGGCAGGTGCAGGAAACAGACACAGCTGCACAGGATTGTTTTAACATCAGTGCTGTGTTTTTCAGTTGTAAAGTGTTTCCAAAGTTTGTTTTCCTTAGTGAAATGAGAACATCAAAAAGAGTTAGTCTGTTTGTGTAACTTTTTGTTTAACTTTTACTTAAAATTTTAGTTTTAAGTCTTCAGTTGACTAGGTTCCTTCGGTTTAGTTTTGTTTTTCATTATTCTATAATCCTCTGTGGCTTGAGACAACAGGGCTTGAGTTTCATTTATGTAGACAAGTTATACAAGGAACATTACCACAGCAACTAAAATCCTGATTTATAAGACAAAACATAGCTCCCTCCTCTATTCAAACAGGATTTACAGGTATTTTGCTAATCATACATCCACAATTCCTTTCATTTTCAAATGAAGTGCTACCTATATTATTAATTGTACTGTCACCTTGACTGATGCAAATTCAACTGACTGTTTTATGTCATTTGAAGTGTTGGTTTTTCAATTTCAGATTTTCTCATCTTCCTATGCTCTGAGCCAAAACACTGCCCTAGAAATGATTACATTACATTTAGTGTTTCCTGAAAACCACTCAGTGTGGCAGGGTCAGTATGACAGTCCCTTTCATTTTCTTCTCTGAGTAACAGCCAGGTAATACTCTTTCCCCAAGGAAGGATTTTGTCAATCAGAATATAATGATGTCATTATGCGATGTGTTTTAATCACCTTTTCCTGGTTTTTTATGTCTGAATTATGGCATTCCATGTTACTGTCCAACCATGCAAGAAAAAAGCCCCCTCAAAAACACGAGGCTAGCCTGGTATGAAAGGTTGAATCCCTGCTCAGATTCAGATTTTCCATCATGCAGGTCATTCCACATGGTCTCTGTCCTAGGTCTTGAGCTGCAAAGCAGGGAGTAATACCCTCCCCCTTGGCAGACCTTTGTCAGGCTATGAAATGTTCAAGTACCCTTCCCTTGTGTAACTGTGGCAAGAGCAGGAGTGGTATCAGTCCCTGTGCTGTAGATATCCCTATCACAGCAGAAAAATTAGCCCACACTCTCTTGATTAAGCTGTGTGCAAATCCAGGAGGTGCTGGATGGTTTGGGTGGTGTTTCTTGTTTAAGCAGTTGCCATATCCTCCAGGGACTAGCTGGTGAGCAGACTGCTGCAGCAGTAATATGTCCTGAAGATAGAAATCTCCTAGGGACATTAAAAAATGCTCTTGTCTCAAAAGCACCAAATAAGTTTTCAAATAAAGATTGCATTTTTACCTCATTTATGTGCAACCTCCCCTCCCTCCTATTTCTGTCCCTCAAAGACAAAGTCACAAAGACCCTGCCTTATTCACTGGAACTTGAAACTCTAAGACCTCACTGGATGGAACCTTTACAAAACTTCCTTCTAGTTTGAGGCACTTCCCATTTAAAACGTGGGAAGAGAGTTTACAAAAGAAAACTACTCTGTAAAGTTTGGGGGAAAAATACCTCAGTTGCAAATATGTGCAGTTGAAATACAAGCAGAGCACAGCTGATGGCCAACACATGATATAATTCCAGTTAGTTTGTGAGGCTGCATCAGCTGAGAGCATGCAGGATGGCTAAGAGCAGGTAAAATGGGCTTGTGGCCTGTCCTTCAGCTCATAGAAAATTGTATTTTCTACATCTATGGGAGAACAAGAGACTGTGCCACCCATAATCTCCCTTACCACTATAAGAGCACCAGTTGCAGCTTGACTAGTGGTATAAATGTAAATATGAACCTCATAAAGTCTGGACTTATCTCAGGCAGGAAGATGAGCATAAGCTTAGCAAGAGTAAAGGGAGAGCCAGGCACCCAGAGAGCTGCAGGGTACACAGCTCAGGCTACTGTGCCCCTCCAGCCTCGGCCGTACTGCCCACCTGCCTCTGTGCCATGCAGCAGTGAAAGCCTGACTCCTGGAACACGAGTCCTGGGCACGCTGTCAAGTGGAGAGAGGGCTTTTCTGCTCTTTGTGGGAAAGTGTTTACCTGTAGTCTGATTGCTGATGGCCAGTGTAGTCAAAGTTTCTTTCTGGTATCAGAAAAGTAACACAGGTTGATGAAACTGGGGTGAACATTTTCGGTGGATCAGCTACGTTGCCTTTGGAAATAGAGGCTGCACCTGTCTTCAAAACTTGTGGAAATGGAGAACACCTTGTTAAGAGTAAAGCTTTTTAAAAGGGACTCAGACTGGCTTTTATTTTTTTTTTTTTCTGACTGAGCATTTACAATCCCTTCTTGGTCTCCCTATGCATCAAAAATAGCTGAAACAAAATAGAGCCTAATAAATTCAATTGAAGGTATGCTTTGTTTTCATCAGCTATGGAAAATAACTGTAAAAAAAAAAAAGAAAAGGCTGAGGTGACTATCAAGGACCAGAGTATCATAATATAATGCAAATAGTTTTTGTTTGCTTGTTCATTGGTTGTTAACTAACACATCTTTAATCCTCTGTGTGCCGACAATTTAGACTATGGTCACGTGAATTCACTAAAAACAGTTAGAGAACCTTCTGATGTCCAGCAACGTGGTATTTCCAAGAACAGATGAGCGTCTCTGTTAATTTACTGTCAGCCTACCTGGAAGAGGACAGTCACTGATTAAACACACACTGAGGACTAATCAATAAAGAGCCGTATCTTTGATCTATTTGGTCATTACTTTTTGACTACAAAAAGTAATGCTATTAATGAAACATGGCTCTCTTGCTTTTTCAGTGTAAAATATTGTGTTTTAAATGGTTGCTTATTTAAAACCTTATGAAAAAGTAACAAGAAGTGGCTTTTGTTTACTTCTTTCAAACAGTGCAATAGCAGCTGGCTCATGTTGGTGTTAACTGGTCTAAGGTTCTGTTTAGAGTTTTTTACATGCGACCCAGAAGTCATGTTTTGATCTTTGTCAATAGCAAAAGGGAGGATTTCCTAAAGATACAATTTGTATCTATTTTGTGATGTTAAATAGGTCAAGTG